TGTAAACACAAATAAAAATACGAATAAGCACCTTCTACGTTTTGTAGACAATGGATCCAAATTTGTAGATTCAATGGGTATGTTTAAAAATCCATCAGCATTATGGGAAAATCCATGATTTACATTTGAAGGAGTTGGAACATCCATAATTTTGTAGGTTAGTATAATGTAAACAACGAATTACCACCACAAGTCAGTGAATTACGTCATTGTATGATAAATAATAAAATTTTCACAATAGTTAAACGAATACAAATTATCAACTAATTGTAACAATACACTAATATCCTTCTAAATAATTAAAACGCTTTATACTTCATATATTCTAAGTATTCATGTTTCAATAGAAGAAATAATTTTCGTAAATACATATACTAATGACACTGCCAACATACTCAAAAAATAGAACTAGTTCTTTAATATACATCTGTTGCGTGAATATTTGGGGAATTTGTAGAGTGCTAAGGAATTCTGTTCGTAATAGTTATCGTGTAGTTATATTTAAAATGAATAAGAAAATTTAAACGTTAAATTTTTATATAAGAACTAAATTTAATAACAATAAGAACATAATAATAATAACTTAATAACGATATGTGATATATTTTAATATTTTACTATTTTCTTTTATTACAAAATACCGCGTCTAGACTCTATGAGCGGAGAGAAAGAAATGAATGTTCAAGTGTCGTCGATATCCATTATTTAATGTTAACGTGCTTTTGTTAAATAATAAATTCCAATTAAATTAATGATTCTATATAAAATTATTTAAGGATGAATTTCATTGGTACTCCGCATTTGTTTATTGATACATGTTTCTTTTAAAACAAATGTTTTACACCTCAGCAGTGTTTCTTTGCATAGCAACGAGGATAAACATTGAGTTAAATGAGCAGTTACAAATAGTAGTCAATGATAGTTTACGATATATGTTATCGAATTTCTTTGTTGACTGCTTCGGCCACATTGTTGTACAATTTATATTCGGCGTATTTTAGAATTCACACCCGGGAAGCCATATAACAGTACAGAAAATTGAAAAGGGTGGTGCGTATGAGAATCGCAGATTGCGGACCTCATGGCTGGTTCGCATGAGTCGCGGAGCGTGAACATCAAATACACAAAACAGCGCACCTAACGACTTTATTGGGCAGTACACATTTCAAACTGGCGTGGCATTTGAATCTTAACCCGCAAACAGCCCACCGCAAATAGTGACACGGTATGGGTCTTTTTGACCCAAATTAAAGTTTTCATTATACTTATTTTGGAGTTAGTTTTTAGATACTAAATAACATCTAATAATGCTTATCATATAGTGAAACTGTCGCGTCTTCGTTACGAGTCAATGTCATCCAGCGTTGGCTGGGCGAGGGTTAACGGATAATTTTCGTCATTTTCAATACTAAGAAATAGTCACACGGTATTGTACGTAAATGTTTTTGAAATAATAAAAATTGATATAATTTAAATAATTACAAACATGAGTGATACACGAGCTGGGAAGAAAGAAAAGTGCCAGCAAATACAAGTACATATTTGTCCATGTTGGGTAAGTAAATGATTTTTTCACGAATTAACATCATTTTAAATATATCTTATTTATCATAAAACTGTAATTATGAAATTATATGTCAAAAGATTTAAAATGTATTATTCTAATTATCAAAATGCTTTAATAAATTAGAAATGACAATATTTTGACACATAAGTTACGTTTATTGTGATAACATTATTCATATTATATTTAGGTACGTGCATAATTAACACGTTGAATGCTATGCTAATTTTACATGACTTGCCCGTCAGGCTAACATGAATTTCTTATTATGCGTTACATATTATGGTAAAATATTATTTACAACAGGCAAGTTAAGGTGTGTAATCATGTGTGACGCATTTATCTTACTGGGGGTCACCGGTGACCTCCACGGCGTTGAAATGCATTTTTTTGTTTTCGTAGGATTTTTTAATTTTTTTGCAATAGTTCCAAAAAAGTTGTGACAAAGTTTCAAATCTTAGAATGAATCAGAATGGATTCAGTCACATAAATTTGCGTTTTGGGATTCAAGGGTGTATTATATATTGACACCAGTAACAATGTACACACGATCAATATCGATCGTTTCGCGCGATGCAGTTCTTGAAATGACCGTTTTTAAGCATAGATTGCGCTTCAAAACCAATAGTATAGCGGATTGCTACGTGACGTGATCTACCTTATCAACTCAAACGGGAAATAGGAAGATAAAGATTGCCATCGTACGGAGTTATTTACCACACGAGTATTTTCACAGAAAAATGAATATGTTTTATAACAATAACTTCTTAACTATTATTTAACAAAATATACAAATATAAAATACTCTTCTTCTCGATTCTAGCTTAACACTTTTTGTCTTGACACCGTGGAGGATTCCGCTTGACTGCTACTGCACCGATGGTTACTGCAACCTGTAACATAAAAAAGGTAGCGCTGTAGGATTTCTCCCACGCGCGCTTCTACGCTTTCCGCCGGATCTTCTTCAGCGGAAGCGAACACCTTCTTTCTGCTTTCTGCTGGATGTTTTTGTCACCACAATAATTTTGGACGAAGTCGGTATTTCAGATCGTGTGACAAAAAGTCTCGTAAGATGCTACGTCTATCCTGTACGTCGTCTGTGGTACAATGTAGTTTTCGAAAAAATATTTGACAATCTATTTTATTTTCTGTTGTTTCCCAAATTTAGGGGATGAAAATAGTCTTCAAAGTTGAGGTTGAAAAATTTATTTTCCCAATATTTCGAAAACTATCGGGTTCAGAAAAATCATTAGAACGTACGAAATGTGTGTTTTCTAAAACGAAATCTCTCTATGTAAATAGTTTTTACAAATATCCATTTCTTTGAATAATATATTAAAAAGTAGTACTTTTGCGTTATTTTTTGTTGCTAAACGTTAACTCGTTCTCTAAAATTACATTTATAAACTACAGATCAAAATATAAAAATACATTATTATTAAATAATTATTCGTAGTTTTCTTACATTTTGTAGGGAATGGAGTTCTTAGGCATGCACGATCGCGAGAATTCTGAAAATTATAAGAATTTATAATATTTTAAACGATTACATTGTACTGTGTTACATTGTACTATGCCTTAATCCTTTAATACCGATATCTCACAGACACAGCTGATTTTATTTTTCTTATTCTTCTCTTTTCTGTGCACAGCTAAGTAGCTTATCTGTCTTGTGTTTCAGCAGAACTACAATATACGGTAATGCCCGGTTAGAGGACGCGGATTCATCTCCATCAGTTCCTGGAATTGGTCACTCGAACCTCCGAGCTCGTCGGGGGTCGCGTTATCTACACCCCTCATCGACGATGACACAAGTACTAATGACCCACCGAAATAAGAAACACGAATGTTTTGAATTACTGAGATTCCTGCGATAAAAATGATACCAAACGTAGTTTTCAGTTAAACGTGCAATATATAACTAATGCAAGACTAAAAACCGGATATAAAATATATATCGTAATACACGTGTTCTTAAATGTCTATGTACAATAATAGGCAATAATAAGAACAACAATAAAAAGGACTACAGAAGCTTGAAATAATACGAGTAATTTTCATAATTTTCCAAGTAAGCACAACTAGCTTATTCCATGGTATCGTATAATAAAATAGTTGTTCGAAGTAACATTTCATTCTATCTCACTCACTCTCGATGTATCGCACTCGTGTACCCGACGTGTACTTGGAGACGAGCGAGCCGGAGAGAGATAAGACTGGGTAATTCCTGGAATACTTACTTTCCTCGATAGTAGACGCGATTAGGATCAAAACCTGCGTCCACTAACCGGGTATTACTGTACTTGTTCACGCATTTTATTGTACAATTTAAGTTTATCTAAGTATGCAGTAGAATCTGACAGACTCTGTGTCGGAGCAGACAGTTTATCGGCCAGAAATGTACAGTATATTCTAGTAATCGTCGCACGCGTAGGTGGCCAATGGCAGTCTCTCTTCGAATTCTCGACATAACCTAATGTTTTTCATTACTTAATATTTCTGGGCTGATATTCTTACATTCTTCGATAATGCATCGATGTACATCCTCAACAGTTGTTGACGTAGGTCATTTCGAGGTCAACGTATTATACATGGACTAATTTACTTTTCAATGTTACACTTGTGGACTTCTACGCTCCACCACCAGAGGGACGGACATACGCTAATGAAGATCTACGATTCCATTTAAAACAAATTTGGGCGACTTTGAAATCTCGGAAAATATGACCTTGAGAATGAAAAATTTCTCTGTCTCGATATTATCTTCTTTGAAACGAATACATTTCTTTTTTATGCATTTTCTTGTGCCGTTGAAAATAACGAAGATATTTTAAGTTCTAACCTTAAACGTAGTAATCTTGACTTAACCCTGTATTTCTTTCAATGGCAAAGTTGCAAGTTTCGTTAATTTAAGTTAAATGTAAGAAAGTAGTGCAACACTATTCTGTGACATTTATTTAAAATATAAAATATAAAAGTTCAGAGCTCTGGTAGACTTCACATCGAACTTTATACGATCCTTCGGTATTAGACGGCTAAATCTGTAAAATTAATACTGCAGGTGTAACGGTATCACTTGAATCTTGCAGTTTGCGACGTTACTTGACTTTTTCGTGCAGTCTCGTTGGCAGAAATAAATTGTTCGAAAAGACGTTAATTAGTTTTTAGAATCAAGGACAGAGTACAAGGTAGATATGTATAAGAATACGCTACTGACACCTGTGGTTACATTTTTGCTGGAAAGTTAAGTGTCGCAATATCTTCAATATGAACTGCAATTATACCTGCGGTATTAATATTGGCGATTTAAGGAACAAATAATGAAACATAGCACAATACGCGACATCTTAGAAATGTCCGTTTTACGTCCATTCTTGGTCTGAACTTAACACATTGCCAACCGACGTGGTGGATCTACCATTTTCTACAGTATTATTTACACCGAATGATATTTCATTCTCGCATGCTATTTTAAAACATTTTGTTCCATAATATTGTCGATGTAACGACTTCATTTTAGCAATCTTAGACATCTGTTCAATTGCAATTCGTTCGGTTGGTACTGTGTTAAAACCTGATCTGGACGCCTTGAAGACGTACGAATCGGTATGTTCTGAAAACGTATAAAAATTACGTTTTTAAGATGTTTATGATGCCAATGCTTCGCAGCGCCACATTTCAGAAACACCTTGATTTGTAACACTGGGCGTCGCGTCGTTCAGACGTCTTCTGGACATCTTTAGGCTTTTACTTGACGTCTTTAAAGAGTCTTCCTACTGTGACGGGTCGAAGAAATCAATTTTTTTTGCATTGTCTTACAGTTTAACATTTCGAAACTATGTCCACGACGTTTTAAAGCTTAATTCTCAAGATTGGCAGAGATATATGCCTTCAGAGGAAGCGGTTTTATATAGTCTTAAACTGTAGTTAAAACTTTAAACGCGTTTTTCTCGAAACAGCGTTTTTGAAACTGGCTGACATGATTGCCAAAAAACCAGAAGTCCGATCCATTCGAAATTTGTCAGGTATATTCAGTAGACGTTGCTTTATCGTCTGAACTAGAATTGTGCAAATATTTTCGAAATTCAGTCCTTGCGGTAAAAAAAAACCCATCATTTTTCTTTGCTAAAATCGAAAGCAATTTCTTTGAAACCTTGCCATTTCTTTATTTCTCAGTATTTTGTTATTATTCTAGGTCAGACGATAGCCACACGTCTACAGATTAAGATTTGCATTTTGTATGCTGGATAAGTACGTCTGTCATTGCCAGCCATCGGGAAGGATATTTTTCAAGGCGCTCTCTTCACGGTGGTCCTACTTTACGACAAATGGATATTTTTACTTATAAAAAATATTTTTGTGTTCTTAAAACATGATAGAATAAACACACAAATTTGCAAGAGGATACGCGTAGCACTTGTTTTGTTTTAAATTTCCGAAGAATTAATTTTTTTAAGACGTTCACTAGACGTCTGTGCGCTGTCAGGGTAATAATTGCCTGAAATATTATAAATTCCAAAAATTGTCACAGTTTTTACGACCGTGCACGTTTAAGGACCCCGTTCTACGCAGAATGTAAAAAATTTATCTGTATCTCTACCTTGGTCTGTACTTTATACATGAAATTTTATATAACAAGTGTGACTAAATTTTGTCCTTTACAGGAGCCCGAAATATCGTCTATCAAAAATCCTCGAGAGCTGCATCCTTTATAGAGGTTCTTCAACCTTCCACAGCCTTTGGAACCCTTCTAGTTCATAACTTTGGTTATCTACACAAGTTCCACCTAAACATTCTTTTACATATCACGAAAAACCGTGGGACCAACCCCTTCCCCGGGAAAAAATGAAGTTACTGACCATTCTTCGAGAAACACTGAACAATGACGGTTGGGGTGAATCTTCAGGGTGTGGAATAAGTGGTAACTCAGGGGAAATCTTCTCTTATATTTATTATATAAAAAAGTAAAAATAAAATTATTTTGAATATGTGACGCGAAGGAACCCTTCAAAACCTTGTGCAGAACCCTAGGGTTCCGCGGAACCCAGGTTGAAGAACCCTGCTTCATAGGAACAGTATCACAAACATGTACACATGTGTATGGTTCTGTGTGTGTATACCTATATCTTTTTGAGACAATAGTTTTATTACAAATTTATTAATTTATCCTTTTTCTCTGTGTGCATCGGTTCTAAGTCGAACTTTATGCGTACAAAGAAATTATAGGTCATAAAGTGTAATATAATATTGTAATATGAATCGACAGTCCATAATTGGACAGCTTTACATTTTAAGAAATATTGTGAAAAAGTTTGAGAAGTGTATGTATGCATCTGTGTGTTGAAAGAAAATTCGAGGGGTCGTGAAAAGGGGACAATGTTTAAAAATTAAAGGTTGCGTCAGAATATCAAGCGCTACACATATTCAAAGCACCCGGAAGAGAATGTGTGCATGGGAATAGCGATATTAACATTCATGGATACTTTCGAAGCGTTGCGCAAATATAATTTCTCTAGTGTGCTCAAATAGAGATAATTCTTTCTCTGTTGACAAAGCAGCGCGATAACTCTTTCATTTGTTGCGTTAACATATGTAAATGTGTTAAAATGTGTATTCTACCTGCGACATTGGTATTGATAACATAGCTAATTTTGTTCAATAACTCTTGTATCGTTAATAACATCGGTAACATCAAGAAAATCAATAACATTTGCAGCAGCAATACACTTGTAAATGTTATTGAAAATAACGTATACTTGTATGGTGTTGCACAACACTAGTAAAGAATAGCATGGAACTGTAATGCAAATTTCAATATTTTCCAATTATTACACGCGTTCGCCATACGATAGGTATCTATTTCTGTACCCATTGTTGCAATTGATTCATGCTTGTATTCATACTTATATTGAAATTAATCAATTACTTATTGCATAAATAATAAAGATCTATTAGATATAAATTTAGAAAGATCTATCAGGCCTATTCCATTGCTTTTCAATCCAGCCGTTCAAAATGGCTATCAATGAAGGTTTTAGTTGATTCTTTCTAGCAACCATAATAATATTAGGTCACCTCACACCTCGCTAGATCAGTATTTCCAACGAACCTTTAAATTTTGTAAAAAAAAAAAACGTAAGCGCCTTCTAATTCCATAACTTTTTCCTATTTTTTTAGCATTTCCTTGGATTTTCCTTGGAACTTATGGGGTGAACTAATAGAATATACGAGTATAATAAGATATATGAAATAAAAAATAGCGATAACATGCCAATATATTCTTTACTACCAAACATTTACAACGTTAATATAAACGAATAATCTGATATGATATCTCGAGCTAACCAAGCTTTTGAATAGCTCGACTGAAAGCCAATGAAATTTCAAATATCTAACAGTGCTAAATTTAGACCAAATAGATCTTCAGTATTGATATAATTTAAATAGAAGATTACAAGTATGTGTCAATTGTAACAATGGACATAAAAATAGCAAGAAAAACATTTGCTTGAAACATATTGAAATTTCTATTATATTTCCATGTTATTCTTCATTAATATTACACAACACCGCGCAAGTATGTACACTACCGGCGAAAAGTTTGGAATCACCTGCCGCTTTTCATCAATATTAAATCTGCTGCTAATTTTTCATAGATTCCAAGTTTATCTCAATTTATCTCATATCAATTGATTCGAATGATAGAAAATTCTCAAAGTCGCTGACTTTTTTCTGGAAATTTTTGTGCAAATTACAGTGCTCGGTGATTCCAAACTTTTTGCCGGTAGTGTATACCTTATTCTTAACAACACATCCGAATTTATCAGCTGTGTTACCAATACCAACGTGGCAAAGTAAACTTCACTTTCTTCCGAAGAAGCCTTTCGTTCGATTTCCCGGCTTAGGGATCGTCTCTTCCGTCACGATGGGAAACACTTCTCCGTCCTCGACTTCTCTTTCGGCCTCTCAATAAACGAACTCGAACCGGAACCAGTACAACTTGAGCAATATAAAACCTGCAAACCCGGTGTCGCTATGTAAGAGTGAAGGTTTGCGACCAGACCAGGAAGAAACGAGTAAACACAGCGGTAATATAGGTATCAATAATGCGTGTGTGCCAGATGGAAAAAAGAAAAGAAATAAGAAGAAACGAGCGGACGTAATACGTACGGTGAAACAAAAAGCAACAGATAGCAATGTGAGTACTGTTGAATTGTGAAACGTATCAACACTCCCCGTCGAAGAAAGGTAACGATAGAAGAGCAAGCGAGAAAGGAGTTTCGGCGAACAGGAGTGCCGGGGGGGAGGGAGGGAGGTTATGAAATGCAGACAAGGATGCAGAAGTAGTATAGCAAGCGGGCGAATCAAGACCAGTTTTAAGCCTGCACTCACATCATACACGTTGCTACGTGCTGCCGACAGATCGAAAGAAGACGCAAGAGCGGAAGGGGAAGAGGAGGAATACAGAATACTTGGAGTATCTCGTGGTTTTTCTAAATTAAACGGTTTCGAAGAAAGGGGACCATGTTCTTTCACATATTCTCCATTTCGATACTGAGTGCTGTGACCTTAAGCAGAGCACAGTTTCGGTGCCCGGAACAAAAGGGTTTCTTTCCAGATCCGGAACAGTGCGATCTTTATTACGTATGCCTGGACGGCAAATCGGAGGAGAAGCTATGCAAGGATGGCCTTGTCTTCAGAGATGAAAATCCTAAGAAAGAACTTTGTGATATCCCTGCCAATGTGCCCTGTGGAGATAGAACACTTCTTCGTGAGTTATTCCTTTCTTTTATTATCATATTTCATTTGAATCTCACGTATGCACGTATATATACGTATGTAGCTGACACGACGGGACTAGAATTTTAAGGTAGATTTTAACGGTTTGCTTGCACGTGAACATGTTACAAAGTACCATGAAATTTCCTTATCGTTTTCAGTAGGTCCTATAGGATAGCTAGACGACTTTTGGTATATTCTGATAATCAGATTCGAAATAGTTAAACGGAGGATAGAGTTCCTCGGCTACTTTGCTAGTATTTTTATTAATTATTCGTGATACAACAACGTCTGTGTTAATATTCTCTTCTGCGGGCTCGAATACATTTCTTTATGTGAAAACGCCTTAAGCTTGACGTAAAACGATAAATAAAGGGATAAAATACACAATTTTGTTCGTTCTTAATTTTGGACAGCTTCTAAAAACCACTCAGATCTAGAGAAGTTTAACATATTGCAGATACGTTGAAAATCTTTATTATTTATTTATTTTATTTATTACACATACTCCGTGCCTTACGGCTCAGGAGGGCTTCCGGTTATACATGCATTGCTATTTTGTCTCTCACACTACTCCAGTTTTTACTCCAGTTAACTTAGATTTAGACCTAAATTAGATTAAATTAAATTATTGATTATTGCACTATGCCTTGAAAATCTTTATAAATCTTCGTAAGTAAAGCGTCCCTTTCTTTCGTGCGAATTTTCAACAGAAGTTTGCAAAGAATTAGGATACGTGTTACAGTTAAGGTTATGCTGTCTCTAGAGTAGAATCATGCGTGACCACTAATCTACGACTGAACGAATTGGCTGGTGAGACACAATTGCAAAAAGATAGCATGGTACCGGGAACTTGTAGAAGTAGACTTATGAGAAACCAAAGGTGAAAGTTACGCCTACCGATTGGGCGCGTAAGAATATTCTGGTCATTTTATTTTCCATCTGCGAGAAATTCCGGGCAGTAATGTCGCCTAAATTGCCAAACGAGCGAAAATTTCTCAAACAGCTCTTTCAGCCACTAGACGCAGAAGAAATTTTTGTTTCCTTAAAAAGGAAATTCTGGTTTCTACGGTTTAAGGTCCACGGATTCAAACGTACGATAAAAGAAATTCCGATTAGATCGTGTTGCAATGTCGCGAAAGATGCGATAAATTAGGATGAACCGGTTCCACTGAGAATTCTTGATTAAATTCCTATTTATACTCACTTTCAATCTCCTTTTGTTCTTTTACATTTTCCTCCTTTTTTGCTTGCACGGCCTTTTTTTACGCACGAATAAATCTGCATGCTAATCTTTTCCATTCTGCCAACCTAAGGACTCCAGTGAAAGGACCAACGGAATTGATGTTTTCCACGCTATCTCGCTGATTGTACAAATGGCATATTGTAATGAATTGTTCAAATAGAAAGCTAACGTTATCAATGAATTTTTTTGTACGAATAAATTCAAGAAATATACGAATTTAATTTATTGCATTAATTAACAGAAACAGTGGAATTGCAAATAAGTTAGAGAAAGATATTGACCATGCGAAATGTTGAAAGTGTTTTATTTATGAATTGACTTGTGTAATTAGATTGTTTATTGTAGAACAGAAATTAAAATCGGAATTTAACAGCAATAAATTTTCTCACGTTTCATATTTCACCACTATATGTTATTATTTTCTAAGAATCAATGTTCTCACAATTATCTACAATCTACGTTGTAAATGAAAAAAAATATTTTAGACATATGTGCCGATAAGAATTATTGTACTCACGTTAAATTCGTGTCAACGAACGCTACCATATTATGAATAAAAAAAATACAGGGTTCCATTTTAAAAAAATTATCCTGCTTTTGATATCTCCCACGCTACTGAACCTACAGACAAATCATTTAGACCACCTAATGTCCTCCTGTATACCGAATAACTTTTGTAAGAACATATTTTTCATAACTACAATCCCTCGTGAGATATTTCACCGTTTCCAATTAAAGGGAACACCCTGTATGTGCATGTATCGTTAAAAATTACGCCCATTTGTATTAACTGGTTATTTGTCGATACTATCATTGGCATTCGATATAAACAACGCCAAACTGAAACAAACGGTCTAAATGAAATTACCCAACCAATCTAATTACACGTAAACACCGTAAAAAAGCTTTCCTTTTTTCAATGTCTGCTATATAGAAGAGCCACAGCCTAGCAAAGGATGTCCACGTGCCAATGGTTATTTCAAGCACGAAGATCCAAGCTCCTGTGATCGTTTCGTAAACTGTATCGACGGCGTGGCCCAAATAATGCCTTGTCCACCTGGTCTGATCTACGAGGATAAAATGTCGAGTTGTGTCTGGCCAGCAGACGCCAGTAGATTATGCGAGAACGTGAAACGAGACGTCCTCGACGACGGTTTCGTTTGCCCAGATGGAGATGTGTCTGGACCACTCGGCAGGATTTTACCTCATCCTACGTATCCTCATCCGGAGGACTGTGCTAAGTTCTATATTTGCAAGAACGGCGTAGTGCCGCAGAAAGGACAGTGCGAGCCAGGTACCGTTTATAGCGAAGACAGCTTCAAGTGTACCGATCCGGATAGCGTGCCTGGATGGTAAGATTTTCATTTCAATTGTAATTAACGATTCAATGTTATTTTTCAATTTTTCCATAGAAAGGTTTGTGTTTTCTAGCTAATTTTGAAGAAATTTTAGTTCTAATTGTAATCAACATTAGATACCATTGTGGTATCGTCGGATTTCTCAATTTATCGAACGTGGGATGAATTTTTTCAAAATTGGATAAGATTAAAAAATTTATGCAATTCCTGGCAACATCTGATGGAATACTTATTCCTGATTTCGTATTCTTAGATTTATGCCGATACGTTGAAATATTTTTTTACACTTTTAAGTAACTTTTTGCATGCACCATACAGGGATTCGTATTCCTGATAAAATTATCCGTAGTGTTGGTGAAATGTACTTAAGTAATATATTAGTAACTTGGCTAAGTATTAACAAAGTGTGCCCAAAAATTAATCACGATAAAATTCAAAAAGTAAATATTTCGATAATATTGCGATGTACAAAATGTTATACAATACTACTATATTTGAAATAATTTATTAATCTCAGTACAGCTTTACGATATTTGAAATATTGCAACTTTTTCATTATTTCAAGAATTTCGTAAATTTTCTAATTTCAACCAGTTTTTGAAAAAATCATTTCGTGTTGCGTCGATAAATTCAGAAACTGGACGATACCATAATGGTAATAAATAAACAATAAAAGTGAGAAACAACGTGTCGTAATGCAATATTGCTGTATATCATATTACATTATCTCAAACACACACACACACACACGAAACAATTAATTTAGGTATATGCTATAAGTCGGTACTTAATGAAAATAATGGTTACTATTGCGTGTGTGTGTGTGATAATATATAATAACTGCATATTTTGGAAACGATTCTGATTTTCTTTTGTGTCTTTTTCTTTCGCAGCGAAGACTACTACAAGAACAAGAACTAAATAAAGACAAGGTGCCAGTTACTCAGTGATATATTCATAACACTTAAGTATTTACACTTAGGAACAATAAACCCATAATATACTTACGTAAACGAGTAACTTTTGCATATACCTCTCATGATAATTACACCTTTTCTCCTTACACGAATGCACATTGGGCACTGAAAAATTTATATAGCGTGAATCATTTTGTCGCGGCTTGTTACAATGAAAAGATCAACGACCGTATGTTAATGCGCGGAAAAGGTATTTACAGATGCAAGATAAGGAAACAATACATGTACTGTTACATACGCTACCGTTTCAGTGTATACAGGGTGTCCCGTAACTCTTCGAAGATCCGGAAATGGGGGGTTGCTTGGGTGACTCTGAACAACTTTTTCCTTTTCCAAAATGTTGTTTGAAGCTTCGTTTTCGAATTATTAACGAAAAACACTGGCCAATCACAACGCCCGTAGCGCCCGCGCTCAGGGACGGGCGAACAGAGATTCACCCGCGCGCTATCGTGAACGACGCGTACGCGTGACTTCTCGGTTATCGATCGCTGTCAAAAAAATTTCACTTTGCACCGCTATTTTTATAAGGCTTAGAGAAATGGGTTTTTGCCGTCATTCCGACGTTTGTATAAATTTTTGAAAAAACTGCAATTAGTCGGAATCGCGAAGAAAATAGCGAAGGTCGTTTTTAACGCGTACGCATGATTTATTACAGTTTTACGCCGGAAGTCGTGACAGTGCGATTTTCACAATCTTTAACCGTTTGTAGCTCATAGAAACATTAACCGATGTCGATGAAATTTTGACAGCGATCGATAATCGAGAAGTCACGCGTACGCGTCGTTCACGATAGCGCGGGGGTGAATCTCTGTTCGCCCGTCCCTGAGCGCGGGCTCTACGCGCGCTCTGATTGGCCAGTGTTTTTCGTTAATAATTCGAAAACGAAGCTTCAAACTACATTTTGGAAAAGGAAAAAGTTGTTCAGAATCACCCAAGCAATCCCCCATTTCCGGATCTTCGAAGAGTTACGGGACACCCTGTATAAGTAACATTTAAAAAAGAAATAGTATGTTAAACAACTTCATAGGAAAAATTTAGTAATATGATGTTTTTTAAATAATTGAACATTTATTTTATTTAAACACTTCGGGCTGGCAGCCCGAAATAACTTAGCAATCCGATGATTTTAAAGTAATTTTAACAAATTTACAGGCAATTCTGTTCTTTTCCTTCTTTAATATTATAAAAAGTTTAATACAAATTATTATTATTATTTAGCATGAATTATAAAATTACTAAGTACCGAATAGACGCGCTTTGTGAATTTCTAGATTTTAACTGTAACAACAGATTTGTCGTATGCAAAAGCAATTATAGAGTAGCTCAGTGTATAAGACTCAAAAGATGAAATTTTTATTTTCATTGAGCAGTAATTTTAAATATGTAAACTAAATACCGAAAGAAAGGCGTGTTTGCAAAATTTAAAGGATTAGGAAAGTTATGCACGTTGAAAGAGCCATAATTTTAACGGATACCGAGTTCATTTGAACATTTCATGAAATCTTTTTCGGAACTGTATTTTTTAAACGTATAATTTACAAATGTTAAACTCTAACAATCCGATTAAGCGACAATGGTGATTTTATTTTCATTGTTTTTCATGTGATGTTGGAAACAGAAACTACTTTTGCTTCGAAAAGTGTTTTTTTTCCCTTTAATATGCCATTTTACGAATCATGATTGCTTTTCAATTTCCATTGTTCATTCAGTTAAGAACACATTGTAGATTTATTTAATTTGGTACAAAATTTTTTTAAATCACCACAATGGCACTAAATTATTTCGTACAAATCAGTTGTCTTGCCAATATTACATTAATAATAATGATATTTTTTATAGTGTAAGTAGTATAAGTAGAAAGATGTCATGGAATTTTACTTCATATATCACTAAAAACAAATTGTTACCAAATGCCCAATTTTCAGCTCGAATTGCACAGGCTTTCCCCTTCAATTTTTGAAAATTTATATCATTTAAATACACCAAGCGGTGCATAGTGACTCTTCAGGCTGGCAGACAATTTTACTTAATTTACCTGATTGCAACCTTTCTCTTTACGTAATCAACGATATGCTTGATGAAACGCACTTCTTGCACTCCATCGGATGATTTACATTTCTCCTGTGTCTGTTTTGCTACTGAAAAATTGTCGAAGCTTGTGTTTTAGTTGTGCATTGAACATTTCAACAAATGTTCCCAGAATATTTCACGCTACTAATGTACGTATATCGTTGTAAGAATTTAATTTCAAGAAACCCCATGCTGAATGGGAAACCATTTTTAGCTTTAAATATAATTTCTCGTATTTTATTATACATACACATTATATAATTATTTAATTTTCCATATTTTACTATTCATATTTTATTATACATACTATATTAGGAAAGAACACACTTTCTTTCTTTTTTCCAAGGAAAAATTAAGGCTGTAGTTCCTCCAGTCTTAAACCACTTCCGCGCAGTATGATATTGTAACTATACAAAAGGAAGGATGCGATGCTGATACAAGTACAGAAAAGTCATCGTGAAAGCTGATATGGAGCTATGTTGTGAACCATCTTTTAATCGCTTTAGTAATGATTCAGATCAAACGAATCGTCGGTTAAAGATATTAGCCTACTAGCGCCATCGAACCAATAACTAGAGTTTTATTGTTCTCAGTTATTTTAATAACGCGTGCGGCAGTTATTTTAATAATTTTAATAAAAATTATCATCTGTTCTGGTAATCAAGAAGTACAAATATTTGGTATTCATTTATCATTAAAAGGTAAGCTTTTGATTGTACTTTTCTCAATATTGCAACGTATTAATCATATCTGTCGTGTTTCTTCTTAATTTCAATTAAAATCACACATATATTAAAATTAAACTATTACTTAAGCGATTAATCAATTAATATATTATTTTCCAATATTAACTCGAAGAATGTTATTTTATTATAACTTATGACATAATATTTTCCAATATATTCCAAAACTTAACAAACGATTATAAACTCATTTGCGAGCTAATTAAAAGTAAATCTACTTGTTTAATCGAAAAGTGAGAAAATTTCAAATATTTTATTCTTACTCTTCTCACATCCATATATTCATATCCACACAAAAATCATCCGTTAATTAAACGATGAAGATTAATTAATCCGTCAGCTAGGGGGTCGTTGTTATTGGTCACAGACATGACCGTGATGTATTTATTTCGTTCACTTAACCGGTTCACCGATAATGCTGGTCATGAATAACAAGATCGCGAGTGGTATTCATTGGCTTTCACTATCCATGCTGGAAGATCTGGTTCTCCTTTCGGGAGCCGTTGCTCCATCTAGCGATGACTGTTACGCAAGACTGTACATATGTATAGTTAAGCTTTAACTGTTAAGGCCTCGAGCACGAAATGTATCTACTTGCTGCATTTAAATAATATTCTGTGAAAGAAGTATCGAGTATTACTTATTACTAACGTTACATTTATGGAAAATTAGGTACATGAAAAATATTGTTTTATTATAGCTTGTGACAAATTGTTCTCCAATATACTCTAAAAGCTTTCTTCTTCTTCCGAGACTACATCTTAGAATACTGGATTATCGTTTAATATAAGATTCTATAGAATTTTATGGGATTTAATATCACGGTATTACATTTTTTCTTAAGTCAGATAGCTTTTTATGTGAACAGTTTACACGTTTAAGGAATTAACATCAAGAGTTATTCAAGAGAAGGAATTCATCTTTGTAGTTATTGTGAGACGTATTACGAATACTTTGACTATTGTAAGGTTCACACCTTGGCATTGATTCTCTAATTGGTTTATTATCGTGTGAAAGTTAAGTCCTTTAAATACTGAGAAATAAGTTAACTAAGTTATTTATGGATGTATTGTAATAATCAGTTATGGAAATATCCCGATTTCTTCTTAATCTAAGTCTTATTTTCCTTCACATTGTTTAATAAAATTGCTTCATAGAGTCATTTACTTAATAGACATTTTAACTCTAGCGAATATTATGAACAACACAAATCTTGCAATGCACTCAGACCGAATGTGTCTTGATTCAGGTAAGATCGAAAAAAATTAATTTCTCTTCATTGTTATACTTCTTCAGAGCAGATTCATTTTTCTGTTTATTTTTCTGCAACAAGTAGTTCTGTTTTTATCTTTAGATGTTCATATATTTGAAACAAATTTAAGCCCATCTTAACAAAATTTTCACTACGAGAAGTGAATTCAATCATTTCTTACGCACTTTTTAATGGTTTCTCTTTAAATATTATCTGACAAACGCTTTCAGGATTGTCTATGGTTAAAATAAAATAGTTATTAATTTACATGTATATGTAAAATAATTATAGTACGAATTTAAAAATGTACATTATACATTTGATTAATTCAACGTGAATAGAAAACACTTCGTTTATGAATAATTAAAGCAAAAGGAACAAAAGCTTTTTAATTTTGTGCAGTAATGATCACGAGTTTCTTCACTTAACTAGGCAATTTTAGAAAAATTAACATTTTTCTTACACACGTATCCTCTGTAATTATAATTGAAAGATCGATTGTCTGACAATGAGTAACGTAGCGATAGTAATTGTCCAACTAATTGCGGCGTGAATAACTTACATGTACACTCCCGTTTGTAAGTATTAGGGTACTTACTGAATGTGAAGCATACTGAAATCTATTGAATTCTACTGGGATCTATTGAAATCTACTAAGATCTATTAAAGTCTATTAAAATTTACTAAAATCTACTGAAATCCTCTGAATTCTATTAAAATCTACTAAAATCTATTAAAGTTCACTAAAATTTATTACAATCTACTGAATATCCATTGAATTCTATTACAATCTACTGAAATCTGTTGAAATCTACTAAGATCTATTAAAGTCTACTAAAATTTACTAAAATCTACTGAAATCCACTGAATTCTATTAAAATCTACTAAAATCTATTGAAATCTACTAAGATCTATTAAAGTCTACTAAAATTTACTAAAATCTACTGAAATCCACTGAATTCTATTAAAATCTACTAAAATCTATTAAAGTTCACTAAAATTTATTAAAATCTACTGAATATCCATTGAATTCTATTAAAATCTACTGAAATCTGTTGAAATCTACTAAGATCTATTAAAGTCTACTAAAATTTACTAAAATCTACTGAAATCCACTGAATTCTATTAAAATCTACTAAAATCTATTGAAATCTACTAAGATCTATTAAAGTCTGCTAAAATTTACTAAAATCTACTGAAATCCACTGAATTCTATTAAAATCTACTAAAATCTATTGAAATCTACTAAGATCTATTAAAGTCTACTCAAATTTACTGAAATCTACCGAAATCCACTGAATTCTATTAAAATCTACTAAAATCTATTGAAATATTTTGAAACCTGCAGAAATCTGGGGGTTGTAAGGCCCAGGTTCACCCTTGTAGTAACAGCTTAACAAGCTCAGTACATTCTTATAAAAAATTCCCCGCTCTTTTAAAGTTGTTAAAAAAAAGTACGCATTTTATTTGAAAAAATTCACGGTCACCATGGATATCTTGTAAACAAATAGGTTATTTAAAAAAAATCATTTCAACATCGTGTGTTCCCTTCGACACCGTGCAATTTTTACATATAACACATATTTTAGAAGTTATTTGGATTGGACAAGTTATACGAGTCACCCTGTATATGTACCTATACATATAAAATGTATTTTATTAAACGCGATTTGTGAAATTGTAAATTCTAGAACAGAAAAATTCTTCAAAAGCTACCTTCATACTGAATTATTCATTCCGAAACAATTTATTCGTTAAAAAGTTGCCTAGTACATACATAACCTATATTATCTAATATGCAGGGTGTACCGCCCAATTTGATCACCTGAAATATTTCCGCTCTAATTAAAATTTCGTAAAGATGTTTCCTGCAAAATTTGCATAGTTCTCTCGTTGCCAGTGTGTGATAACGGTAGTTCTATTTCGTTCGTGATAAGATGGTCAACTTTCTTTCTTTAAATTGAATGCTATATTTTACTTCTTTGTGTATGACAGTCATTTTGAAGAACAATCCAACGACCCATATTACTAAGTCCTTCAAGGTCAGCGAAGATCCTGCAAAGTTTTCTGTTTAACCTGCGTCGCAGAGTAACAATCTACTCAATCTCCGACTCGTGAGAACACTTCACTTGTTTGTCATGGATATTTTTAATTACGTTCGAAAATTCGAAGGAAACGCTCGAAGTTCACTTTGTTCATACGACTATTAGATTATGGGAGTTATCGGTTGTTAAATAATTAATAATCCCTATTTTAAACTATAAACTTTCATTAGACACAAGGAAGGTTCGCTTTTTCACTTGATGGTAAGCGCACTGTATTACCGACTGAGAATGCTCCTACGCACGCCTTAATATTGCCTACGACCCCGCTTGGGACCGAAGGGCCTTTTTGTCACGTGTCATAAACATTTAGATCTTTACTAAACAGAGGTGGCAAGGCTAAACGGATTTCTCCGAACGTATACAAAAGTAATTTACACTTCCTAGTAAGGCGTTAGATTAATTTTTGTTATATCTAACTGACTGATAAATCTAACGACCGTCGCCGAATAAGAGTAAATGTTACGGTTCTAAGTAAAATAACGTAAAACTTTCCCTGTTGAAATCGTACAGCTCTAAATAAATTCTAACGAGATGCGCGGAGACTTTTTCGACTGAGTGTACATCGCACGCGTACTTTGTGAGATCTAAATTACGGTTAACACAATTTTCAGCGTCCATTGTTGAACCGTTTCGAAGGATTCGGTATTAATCTTGAAAAGATTCCACGTAAGAATGAGGCTGCAATAATTTTATTGTTAATTTTGTGAAATTTTCTGCTACGGATCAAATTTCACTAAATGAAACTAATTACAAATCATTTTTACGAATAAAAGTTACCAATGATCAACTAGAATCCGGAAAAATTGAACGTAAAGGACAAAATGAAATTTCAATCGCACAATAATACAATAGATTTTATTATCCATTATTTATCGAACCATTTTATACTTTCTAACAGCTTCTCCTTAATGCTTAGACAGACTTCGAAAAACAACGAAATCTCACCGTTTAGAATGAATATAAAAATGTGGAATGCGAGAAATCGAAACTGAACACAACATTCCCCTCCTACTTTTCTACATTCTTGTTTCCCTGTCTTCGAATTTCCATCGAATCTCGCCGTGAAGTCCCAACAGGCGCGCGTTCATTCGCTTTTTCGCTTGGTTCCGCATGGCTCGGTATACCGAAGCTGCACGTTCACGCGAACAAATCGAATAAAATCGTGGAAGGACCGTTGGTAGGGGGAGTAACAAGAGAGCAAGTGAAGGGAATAGCTCTCTGTTCCGAGGCCGATAACTAAGTGTCAGTAGTCAGAGTCGACCCGAGTCGAGGTTCAAACCGAGTGAGCACTATGATCGATCGGAGGAGCACAACCTTATTGGCCCTGGTAGCTTTTCTGGTCTCCGGTAAGTTTTTTCCACCACCAATTAAACCAACTCTCTACCTTCACCGGTGATCTTTAAAACACGTCGTCTTCCCATCGGAGTCTTCTCTCTTCGGGAATGCTCCGCGGGATGCGTCCAGAGAGATGAGCACCGTTTCATTCACCGGATTATACCACGGCAGGTGTAATTCGTGTCTGAACTTAGCCGTTCGCCGCGTTACGACATCCACGTCGTTGAATTTCAATAACTTTCACCGTTGTCTCGGCAATCGCCTTCCTTCACCATATGGTTACGTCGCCGGGACCTATGATATAATGTCCAACGCGTTTTGCACATATTTCCCTTGTCTAATATCGAAATCTATCCCCACGTATCGACGGCTACGATCTAGCCAAACTGCATTATTCACAATCGCGCTATTCAGACAGTCCATTCGTCTTTCTCACCTACGCTTCTCCTTCCTTGCGTCTTCCCCCGCGTATTTTCTTTCTTTTTTTTCCGACGTGCGATTATTTGCTTTTGTCTTCTCTCACCGCGTTATCCGCGTCTTTGTTTCCTTGCGTGGGGGAATTCCAAAGGGGCGTGATATATACCCGGTGGTATATGAGCTTCTGTTAAAATGCTGCGCTAATGGTCACAGACGCTGCTCTTCTCTGCGCAGAGATTAGTTCGCGAATTCCATTGTACGTCGTGGATATTTATGATCTTGCTGTGCGTATATTTTTCTTTTACATTATTTTAAGAACGAGAAACAGTTTGAATCGGTACGACGATAATGATGTTAAAATATGGAAGTTTCACCGTCTGGTTTCTCGAGTTGATCGCTTTTTACCACCAACTCTCCTCGTTCTTATTCTGCTTCCTTTCTATCGCGACTGTCACCAACATTAGAAACCCGACGAATGATTATTTCTCCGAGCAGTTTACAGTCTCCTCTGTGTTTCTTCTGATTACTTTGCCGAGCAAAGAAGAATTCTCGCTTTGCAATCCATTTTGTGGTTTCAATGCTATTCCTTTTCCTTCCTGTGTTTTGCTGCGTAAGGCCAAGCCGCAAGCTGCGTCCTTTTCAACGTCATTTTTTAGGTCTTTTTCAAGATTTTTTTACAAAGAAACTGTAAGACTTCTTAGGATCGATATTATTCATGTTTCAAGAGTGCTCATCATTTTTTTAAAGTGACAATAATTAAAATTGGCTGAATTATAAGTTGTTTAGTAGAGCCCTACTGACTGGCGTGATTTCGGTCATTCTACTTATTCGAAACGAGAAAGCCTAAAGATTCTGGAGTAGAATGAACGCGGCTACGGTGTGAGCCAGGATGGAAACAGTGAAAATTTGAAAAATGGGGGTATTTTGAACTTCGAATATCGGTTGCATCGGTTTAATTACTTCCAAAATTTTATCACTAAGAGCTAGTTGCGCGTATGGATATTGTACGTACTTTCTTATTTTCACGAATTCGGGCAAATCTTTCCGCAGACATAATTTCGAAAACCTAAACTTTCAGAAAATCAATTTTTTCAGAAGTCTAGACTAAAATACCCCGTTGAAGCGTCGAAACGCCGTGACACCAGTCCACGACTTTCTGATTCGAAGAGCAAGAATTTATGCGCGTCAACAAGAATGTCATTTTCAACAGTTCGTTATGTAATGTACATGCAGAGCAATAAAATCGTTAATAAACATGTTATTAGTACTTGTCATGACATTGGCACTGCTAATTAATACAAACGATTTTCTCGAAAACGAGAATTCAAACGAACAAAGTTTATTCCTTATTTCCGGTTTATTTTTACGCGAAGAATCGCGCCCCGCCCCACCATGTATGTACAAAATGTTCCTAAGAGTTTATTATAGTCGATTGTGCCACAGAAATCGAGTTTGGAAAAGAGTTTTGTCGTGGGTCGTTGAACTTCTCTCCGTAACACTTTACTATAATATAAAAACAACTATAGCTGTTAATTTAAAAACGTTCGTCGTACCGTCATTACGCGAAAACCATTGCAAATTTAAAAAATCCATTCAAGCCATCGTATTGCGTATAAAAAGTAACGAAACTTTGTCCTCTTCTATTTTTCTTGCAAATCTACTATTTACGAGAAAAATGCTGGAAACTACAATAATAGCGCGAACACCCTGTATATTTTTTGTACTATTTCAAAATGGAATACGGTCCTAGCTAGGGCTAGATCAAACTGTGCCGCCACTTGATGCTTTAACCTTCGAACGGCGGATGCCGGGTCACCGCTGACCCGGTCTTAGATGTCCCCTGTTTAAATCAGCATTCGAAACAGTCACTTCTCTCCTTATATTATAAATATGCTTATTATATTAATTGTGATATATTTGTACGATTTTAAACCATAGAATGCCTGGTAAAATGAAAAAATATGTCTCCGCTTGCGTATGAAAAGGATTTTAGTTTTGGGTCACATTTGACCCGACATCTGCCGTGGCCGCGACTATCACGCCATCCGCTGTTGGAGGATTAATTTACGAGTGCAATTTCTTCCATTACTACTATATTTCTTCCACCGACTGTACTTCTACTCTTATTAATACGCTATCCTTTATTTTCCACGCGTGCAGTTGAAGCAGCTACCCTTTTAGGCGCGCCACCTTGTCCCGACCCCCATGGCGTTCATGCATACGCCCATCCCGAGAGCTGCAATGCCTTCTTTCTCTGTACGAACGGCACCCTGACCCTTGAGTATTGCGAAAACGGATTGCTTTTCGACGGCCATGGAGCCGTGCACGATCATTGCAACTATCACTGGGCCGTGCATTGCGGAGATCGCAAGGTTGACCGTAAGTATCACGTTACACTCTTAATAAACATGACAAGTTATGCCAATATATGTTTATCTTCCGACGTGGATTCATTCGATGCCTCTATCAACGATATAATAGAAGAGAAAAATTCAACGGAATTAGAGACGAGGAGCAATAAGAGCAATTAGCTGTAGAAAATCTAATAAATAGAGCAAATCTAATTGAAAGAAGAAATTACCATTGGAATAACGATATCCATGTGAAGTAGTAATTAAACGCCAAACATGTTTCAGGCATGAAATGAATTCAGATAATTAGATCGTGCTGAAACTAATTTAGTCGCGTGCAATGATCACTTAACACGATCACTGTACTCTATGATATTTGAACATATGGTTAATACTGTGAGTTGGAAGTTACATTAGAATGTGCTTGATAAAACTCAAAAGCAACGAAGACTTTGTAATCTGTTTCATCTTATTCCCGAGTTACAGTAATTTCGTGGGCTCTAATAATACTTAATGGCAGACTAAGTGCGAGATAGCGTAACTTAATGCTAAACTATTATATTCGTAGGCAATCTTGACAAATATTTGAAATATTTTAATAATCGAGAAATTCTACGACAAGACAACTGCCATCTTGCACGCAGGCTGAGTGCCCATTTTAAGCACTTCCTCTAAAAGGTAGGAGCAGTACATTGCTGAAGTAAAAAAGTCACTGTAACTCCGGAATAAGATCAAGCTAAGCACATGTTTATACGAACCTTTTTCTTAATTGCATTTCAAATTTATATCTCAATTATGTTCAAAGTTTATTTCCGAGCTAAAATATATTTCATTATTTTCGCGCGAAAGTTTTTCAATAAAGTTCACGTAATGATATTGAGAAAGTAATACGTGTTTGCACAGTAAAGTAAAGTTTGTGTGTAAAGTTCATCGTTGATCGGGTTTATGACACGCTCGCACCAAAAGGTTATGTTTCAGAACAAAGACGCTTCGTAGCTACGCGAAAATATAAGTAATTTCTTGTAAACAATGGCTTTAGAATTTCTATCTTTCGGCGTCCTCAATAGCCGAAGACGTGTCAGAAACCAGGTCAATCTACACGCGCGTATAAAGCACTTTCGGCCGAGGGTTGACCTGGCGGGAATTTCCGACAGCGAAGATTCCACGTACCCGCAGGTATCGCCCCACTCCTTCCAAGGAAAAGCGCGCTAAGGGCGCAACGGAAGGGTGGGTGACACCTAAGGGGCACGCGGACTCCAGAAAAATTCGGGGATCGGAGACATCACGTACATTTCGAGTCGCGATCGAACACTCGAGTCATTTCAACCAGGTCGTCAATCGTTCCGAGCAAAACAAAATTCGAATTAGTTACCTGAGATTAATTTGGTGGGTAACAGTCGCGGACGCGAGCTTTTTGAACAATCACAAGAGAGCGCGACGCGACAATAGTTACAACATTGTTACTTCTCTTACATCAATTAACATCTAACTATTATCAAATCATGTCCAATACAATTAATTAAGCCTAGTAATATTTCTATATATGAACTCATGGAATATAAATACGAGAAAAATGTGGTATTATTTTTAGTAACTCCAATTAGTAGCCCCGGTTGCGAGTATCAATTTGGTCTCTATCCTGCCAGCGACGCATGCAGCACCACTTACGTTAGGTGTGTCCACGGGCATCCTGAAGAGGCGCATTGCGACGCGGGATTAGTTTATGAATCAAAAAGCCATAATTGCGTCTGGCCCGATCAACTGTTACCTTACTGCAATCCGGAGGAAGTGGTTGGCTTCAAATGCCCTCACAAAGTCCCTGCCCACAGCGCGGCTGCTAAATTTTGGCCCAACCCCAGGTAAGTGTTCTTATGAAACCACTGTGAATATTTGACAGTGTTTTATAAATCTTACACGAAACGTATCAAGACACCTGAATATCAGTAAAAGATTACGAATGCGTTGAAATTGTATCGTTTGGAAAACTGTTCGAAATTTTTATATAAAAATCACCGAGCTTGACTGTATTGTTACGTACCTTTCGTACCTCAGGGCCCCCGGTTTCGGTCAGTCCATTCAAGGAGTTTACCTGGGATAGGGTCGGCGACAGTGACTACCGCAGGATTTAATTCACACAAGTTTATTGACTATCGGTTTCTGTACAGAGGCGTTCCTTTATGCAAGGATATACAACTGAGTGCCCGCGCCGGAAGCGCGTTGGTTTTTTAAGCTGCTTCCCTCTCCTGTCCTCGGGGTGGTGGAAATGGGTTGGAGGAGGAAAGATTGAGACAAGGATAGATAGTTTGGGAATTTTCCGGACAGTACAGCGAGCCTACCCAAGTCTAGACAATTGCCCCTTTTTTGGGGCATCGCAGGATGTCGAAGACACGAACCAGACGCGTGGCATTTCGACCCATGGGCATCCTCGAGCGCCCGGCTCTCGGTGCCTCGCATAGTCTCGAATGATGCGCCCTGTTCTTACCTGATTTATTGCACTACCCTTGAGTGGCTTTTCGCTGTAACAGCCCGAAGGAATTTTGGTGAATGCAAAGTGTGCGACCGTTGTAGGATTTCTATGGTTTCCCCAAAGACAAGAAAGGTTCGCTAGGCTTGGAGGTTACGGACGTAACAGTATTGTACAGGGTGCTACATTTAAACGAGGACAGTGGAACATCTCATGAGAAGTTGAAGCTCTGAAAATAAATCTCGTACAAACAGTTGTTTGGTATAAAGGGGTACATTATGTGGTATAAACAATTTTTCTGCGAGTGTAGCAGTGGAGGAGATATCAAAGTCACGTTCATTTTTCTAAATGGAACTCTGTACTTTTTTATTCATAGCATGGTGGCGTTTGTGGAGACGAATTCAACGAAGCGCCACACGAAGTCATTCCGTTTTGTGAAAAATCGTAAAGTAGTGAAGAATCGGACAGCTAAACCCTACTTGACTGTGCTACTAATACAAATTCTCCACGATTTCACAACTTTCCATAAAACGAAATGACTTAATGTGGCACTTCCTTGAATTCGTCTCAACAGACTTTATAATATTAAGAATAGACAAATATAGCGGTACCTTTTCGAAAAATTAATTTGACTCTGATAATACACCTATTGAAAAATTATTTCGACCATTTA